TAGCACTAGGGCGAAATAAGCTGGTGATCTGAATTATCTATACCTTATAGTACACAAAACTGACACGAAACAATTTGAATCAGTGTTGAAGTTAAGGTTTCATATTGTGTACTGCGTATGTGAGTTGGGGATGCATGTTGGTATTTCAGTTTGTTATCTGAACACTATCCTGTTGCATCGTACACTTGTCCTGCACTGTTCTCCATTGATCCACCTGACATATACAGTACAGTACAGTAGGATACAACACAAGTGAAGATAACAGATGCATATAATAATATAATTTGTCTCCAGGGCCATAAAAGTTTCAATTAATTAAATTTAGAGCAGTTTATTATTCATTGTTACCGACACACACACACACACACACTCCTGCTTGTAAATGGTTTAGTTATGTTGACTCTTCAGTTAAAGAATATTGATGACATAATTTATTACAAAATATTGTATATGAGCTAGAAAAATAAGTAAATAAAGACATATGTGGTTGAACAAATAAGTAAGACATGTTTGGGAACTTTTCAATATCTACTTAATTTATCTAATGGCGTCCTTTTCAAAAATATAAATGCCTCTGTGAGATCACCCCTATTGTGTCTTGTTCTGAAGAGTTGTTTAGTATTAAGGACTTCATTCTACTTGGTTACTCAAGATGACAGTTCTGGATTCATCTTAGTCGCTCTGTATTACACCGTCTCTAGGGAAGTACGTGTGACTTATGGAGTTGAGGGAGCATTTTCTAATATGTTATTCCCCCATTTTTTTTCTTCACTGCTGCCCCCACTTGTTGCGCCGCCAAGATCTTTCTCCTTATCGACAGTAACTAGGAAAGTGTTATTAACATAATAGTTATGATTGGGATTGTTGTACGTGTAGGGTCTAACATTTCATTTTATTAGAGAGGATTTGCCAATTCTCGAGACCAATTGAACAGCTCACGTAAATCTTTTTGTATTGTTGCAATAGTCTTGGCTTGATACCTTCCCAAATATCTTCGCGTCGTCCACAAACTTGACAATGTGGTTCGATATTTTTATCTATGTAGTTTACGTAGATGACAAACATGATCGGTCCATGGAGAGATCCTCGTGGTACTCTATTGAGAACTTTTTCCCATTCAGAAAGTATTCTGTTTATGACCTCTCTATGTTGTCTGCCTTCGAGCCCGCTGTTAATCATCCACTCAAAATCTTGCTTGTGATCCTTCCTATGTACCCGGTTCTTAGAGTTTAGTGCACGTGGAACTTTGTGAAAAGCCTAAGAAAAATCCACGTTCAGCACATCCACTGGTAAGCCTTGGTTCACGAAGTCTGTTACCGTTTCAAGAAAAGTGAGTTTGTCAAGTAGGAATTTCTTTCCTTGAAACTGTGATGCGTTGATAAGACTGCTTGGTCACGTGTTGGGTGACGGAAAATGAGGGTGGAACATGTAAATACGGAAAATTTATAATTATGGGAAATAAATAAGTATGGACAATATATACAGTAAGTAACATTAGTAGTGGTGCAGGTTGTAGGACAATTTAAAAATATCAAGATGTTGATGGCTGGCCTGTCCCGAAACACCATTTACTGTTTTCCTCCTGACAAGAGACAACGTGACCACACAACATCTCGACTGTGTACCTCATGTCTCTCCTAGCCAGTGTAATCAAACCTATCCTAACCCTATCTAATCTAACGTAACCTAATCCCCCAGGTAGCGTTTGGTTGTTTAATCATCAGGTGTTATAAATAAGCTGGGGTAACTAATCTTCGGATGAGAAGATAAAGTTGTCTGAACACTCATGTGACACCAGCCTAGTGAAGTTATCATCGCGGGGAACCCAAATGAGATAGTAATGGGGTTAATTTTTTGTGAAGATAGATAGTTCGGTATAGCCATCATATGTTTATATCTAGAAAGAGTTGTAACTGAAAGACGTAGACAAGGAAAGGATATAAGTTATGAGGTGAGATGAGACGTTAGAGGAGCTGTCCAGAACACGTGAGATGAAGCAAGAATTGGGACAGTAGAAAGGTAGGTAGGCAGGATATTACCAGCAAAGGAAACGATGGACGCGTGTGGCTGAGAGCGATAAAGACGATGATAAGGTCTGAAGAAAAAAAATGATAATAGGATACAGTTTCTAATTATATAATGACATGAAATTATTATATATAACCATTAAAGCTTAAAATTAAATTATATGTAAATATAGAGATATTAATAAACAAACGGAGAATTAAAGATATATTTATCTGAAATATTTAATGTAGAATGTGAGGAAGATGAGGTGGATCACTGCTCTGGAGGTGACACACCCAAGAGAACATGATACATTATATGTATTCCTAAAATTACAACTACTATACAGAGGACGAGCAAACCCACAACACCTTTTTGTATACCCAGTGGAACCGTGAGGGGAAGAGGTGATGAAGAGTTGAATCTATTAATTTTTAGATGTTGATGACAAGTGTGTGTGTAGTAATCTAGAGTACGCGCTTGACTTGAAGGCAACATAATACAGTATTCGTAGCCTGGAGGCCCAAGAGTGGAGGCAGTCCATTATCTACAAAAGCAGAAGAAACTTAACGTATTGCAAAAACTATAAAAGGTTATCCTTGATGCATGTAGGAAAGTTACATGAGATACTCCTCAAAGGAAAAGTGAGGGAAATGACAACAAATTGGCAGTCAGTCTGGATTTCGGAATAGAATGAACACTGTAGATCACTTGCCTGTCAATTCTTTGCCCGGGTGCCAACTTTCCCGGGGAAGGAAATTGCAACATTTTACTGATTGGCTGAAAATATTAAAAATTATTAAAAACACGTATATATTTCATATCTGAGAGTACCACGTTCGGGTGTACACCCACTAAAAAATTATATTCGGCACCCGTGTTATATTGTATCACGCCGTAAGGGTGCCCCATTAATTTTTTTGTGGGTGTACAATGGTGCGACGCAGATAAACGTAGCGTACCGTGTAAAACACGTCTTATACATTTAAATAACGTTTCAACGGAGCTGAAGCAAAGATTATAATGGAGATAAGGCCTTGTTTATGTGGATGATGTTGCGACTTCGTGTAACAATGTACATGTTTCCTGTAATTATTGATAAAGGTGACAATAAAAGGCACTTCCACCCAAGGTGTTATGAATGTACAATATTTAAAAGTATTTTAAGCGAACGTTATCGTAAGGAAGTGAAACGAGTACTGAATAAAAAGTTAAAAAGTAAACTGCAGGCAGCGGATATGAACGTCCTGAGGCTTATCAGAGGAGTGGCCACAAGATAAACTGACAAAGATGGTTTAGTTCCTTCAAAGAAGAGTTACACCACCAGGAAACATGAAGCTTAGCGGGTGTATTGTATGCCTAAAGGAGAGAGAGAACTCGATGCAAGGAAGGACAACGTCCGGAATATATTGAGTGATGAAGAGCTGCTTTCTAACACAGTACTGTACACTTTTTGTTAAGATCATACTGCCTGGAAGACCTATGGAAGGGCACTCACGATTCTTAAGAGCAAATAGCCTACTCGGGCGTCTGGCGAGGTGAGGGTTATGTATATCCGTCTGTAAGGAGGGAGCGAGAATATTTCGCTAACAATCTTGGTGCTGATGGTGTGTGTGTGTGTGTGTGTCAAATCCAGATTTTTTCCATGGGGATAGCATAGGGAGGAATGGAGGGCGGGGTTGAAGGTAAACTAACGGTAAATTCGATCATTCATTAGAGCGATTTTTCTTTAAAGCTTCGTTATCCTTATCTAATGAAGACATTATCAAAGCATCCAACGGAGGTAGTGGTAAAGGGTAGGGGGTAATCCTCTCCTATAATTCGTCAGTATTAGTTACTTATTTGATAGGCGTGGGGGAGATATTTTAAAGTGAACTACATGATTATATGACAATTCGAAGTTTGTGTGAAGATAATAATTTGTAAGCCATAATAACCCTAAAATCCTACTGTACCCTTTTTGTTATGTCAGGCACCACCAACACCAGGGGACTACTTCAAGTTAACATGCAGAGCGAACATAAGGAAATACTTACGAGGATAGTAAGTCTAAGGAACAGTCTACCAAACCAAACTGTGGAACCGAGAACAGTACTGGATTTCACAATAGCTCCTTGACAAAGCTATTAAGACCATTGGAGGGATCTATGCACATTGTTTGTATGTCTGCACTAGCTATATAGATCGTTTGTGTACTGTACCTGCACTACCTATGCGTACATAGTTTGTATACTAGCACTGTCTATGCTTACATTATTTTTTATACCTGCACTGACTGTCCATGTATACTGTATACCAAATTCTTTTATACATATACATGCTGAATCAGTGTACCTGTAACTTTTATGACCTATTTACTGAATATCAATCCTTTTATTTATGTTTCTTTCTATACTCTACACTTTGAATTACCATTACTTAAATGCTTACTGTACTATTAATATACTTACGTGGTTAATTATAAGTTAATAACTTATTATCTACATGGTCAATTATAATTACTTAGTTTTCGTTTACTTAGTACAAGTTATATAATTGCTCACTGCTTATTTCGATACTTATAATTTCCTCCTCTTTTTGGGGTTGTGCTCACTGACCTAACCTAAATAAAGTTATGAATACAAAAACTACTTAATTGATAGATGAATATATAGTTATTTGGTGGATAGTTGCTGAAGTATATCTCAAATTACTTGATAAATAGGAAATAAAAGTATATTTAAAAAACGTTTGATAGATAGCCAGATAGTGATGCATATAGGTAGTCGCAGAGTGATTGTAGATACAAATGTATAGACAATTCCCTGATATTAACAAATAGTTTGAGGTGTACATGAGTTAACTAAAGGCATAAACAGTAAGAAAAATAGGTATGTATATGGAGTCGTTTAGGGAATAGAGTTAGAAATGTCTGTAAAAAGTAGCCAAAATAGGTAAACGGGGAGAGTGAGTTTGGGTGGCGGGCCGGGGCGAGGTGTAGTTGGTAACAGTGTTGAGTGCAGGATCACCTGTCCTGACGGTTGATGAAGAGGGTTGCACACTGAGCATTTTGCCCACACAAAAATGTAACCTAAATTAACCACAGTGGGAGAAAAGCGATGGTGGTGTGAGTGTAGTGCAGACGTGTTACAAGTGATGTGACAAGTGGGAGGTGTAAGTGTTAAGTGTGGTACAGTGAGTGGGGCCCCCGGGAGGAGGTGTCGTCCCCCAGGCATGGATATGGCCCATTGCGTACTACCATGTTGAGCAGTAAACACTACCCAGTTATTTGCATGTCCACACCACAAGTAGGATGAAAAAAATGTTTCCCGCGACGTCCAACACAGACTCGCAAGTATACAACTTCGACAGTGAGGAAAACTCCCAGAAATGGAAGCGTTTGTTCCTGAGTTCTCTTCAGGAGGTGAGACGTTGAGAGGAGGAGGAGGAGGATGCTTCTCCTGTCACTCCTGTCCTCCCCTAACCCCTGTCTCTATTAATATAACATCTCCACCAACTTATTATTAAACTGACCACAAACTTTCCCTTAAATAAGTTAATGAGAATTGTTTTGAGACCAAAATCATTATTGAAGCAAAGCTTATAAAAAATGAAAAATTGGCATAAGCTGGGCCAGGTTGGTTCTTAGCACTTGCATCTGACTGTAGTTCCCGAGTCTATAAGACATTTGAAGAGAAACACAACAGATATTATCATACAAAGTTATCCAAAACAAACCTGTCAAGTTTTTAATTTTTCTTGTGTTTTGTTTCTTGAAGACTTCTCAACAACTTCATTGACACTAAGTTTGTGGTTTGTGTATTAACAAGGTGTTGGAGCTTCTCTGTAATTATATAAAGCTTTGTGTTAACTTACAGCTAAAATTAACATAAAATACTAAAACTGGCAGATCATAACATGACCACCTGATGTGTTTGATGGTTGACAGATGATGTTCATGTGCCTGTCACTAGTGTTCATTTGTTCCATCTATTGTTTTGCCATGTCATTGTTCACAAACTGTACAGTACTGAGTCACTCCAACAATTTACTAAAACTTTAAAAAAAACTGGAACATTAGGTAATTTTCAGGTTTATTATTGTGGTCAATTTTGTCTCTATTTTTTTTTACACCATAAAATCAGTTTTCTGCTCATGGAGTTCAATCATTCACCTTTCTTAAACTTGAAGATTTTCTAAATTTAATTTTTAATGAAAATTTTAAAAATCTTTAAGAACAGAATACTCACCTGCCTGACCTAACCCCAGCTTACCTAACCAAACATTCCTGGAATATATATTTAAGCTAATGAGTAAATATGAGCGTAGGAGGGCCAGGGGAAGGCCAACACTGGAGCGGGTGATTGAAATTAAAAGCCGTGCTCCTGGTGAGACAAAATCAAGCCAATTAATAAACACAGTGAAAACATTTTGTATACATAACCATTGTCACCAACCCTCAGACACGCAGCTTCAGTGATTGAAGTTTAGTGGCTGTAGTTCTGGTCGTTCAGTTTGCCTGCTTGACACGGTTGCCTCTGAAGATGGAAAAGAGGTTTACTACTGTGTTGTCCTCTACAATTAGCAAACATGATACTGATGTTAACATATTTACTCCTTAATGGTAATGATGGTGCATCTGTCATTCCTGTCTCTATGTTGTTATTGTCTCTCACAGACCTGTACGTTATATTAACTGTAGCCCTGCACAGAACAGCGGCCAGACAAATGTATTATTACAAGTAGTTAAGAAGATCTTATAAACTCTGGAACATAACAACAACATGGACACATTTGTTATGGTGAGATGTCTTTGTTATTAGTTAGCGTAATGAGTTATTAATTACTACTTTACAGTAATTAGCTTTTTGTAACTAAATCATTGGGGGAAGAACTTTGTTAGGAAGCTCATAATTACTTTTATTGTCGCGTTCATATTTAATGGTGACAGTTACAATAAAGGTTGTGGGTATTTGAAGAGTTGTCAGGTCTGTTTTCTTAGATTAATACCAGAAGGAGTTGATAGAATTGGACGAAACTTTACCCACAGCATACAGTAAATATGGTGATGTCTGAACATTTATGAATTTTCAGAAATATAGTGAAGAGGAGGAAGGTAATAGTACCATATAATTTAGTGTACAGTACCATACTTCATGTTAATAGTAGTTTGCATTTTTTCAGAATTTTAACGGAATCATTTATTTTGTAATTTATAAAATACTGTACCGTACAAATCCGGGGGAGAAGCACGGAGAAATAACTTTAAATATAGAGTACTGTACTTATGAAGTGGCAAGAAGCCTCGGACTTCCATGGCTTTGGTGTTTCTCAATTAAAGCAAAACTTAACTGACCTAAGTTGGATCTGATTTTAGACAGCAGACCACTGAGAATCTGAGCAACATAACTACTGTACGTATACAAAACTTTGGCAATAGTTGATGGTTCATATCAGGTGCTGAAGCCAAGTACATACTGTACTTCTTAGCAAATTGCAATTTACTTTTTTCTTGATCTACTACCAATGTTTTGTAGCATAGATTTTGATAGCAAACTATTATTGTCAAGAAGTTATTTACACTACATTACTGTATTTCTAGGACATGTCTGCTCTCAGTTTATTTTTGAGCCAAAGTTAAGGACACAGGTGTCATTTATATCCTAATATTTTTTTAAGAATTTCTTCTTGGATGTTTGTTTTGATTTATAGAATGGAAACCTGGTGAGGGAGATTGGGGGAAATATTTGTGCAGTGGCATTTGTTGTCTGTTTTTCTTGTGTTAGACCTACCAGGATAGTCTCCCTGTGAGTTCATTGTTTACAAAACTTTGACACTTGATGAGAGTGGCTGCTGTAGGCCTGAGTGTCATGTTAGAGGTAGTACTGATAGAGCACACTGTAGACTAAGCACTGCTCTTGACCACCTGTTAAGTTAGGTACTGTACTGGTGGTGCCCCCTAGCACAACTCAGTGGTCCTTAGGTCAGGATTGATTGATTGTGGTAATTACATCCCTGGCGACTCATCCGCGCACCCATAATGGCACTTCATGCGGACTAATTCGTGTTGGTCTTTTCCATTAATAGGTTGATTTTTTCTGCCTCGTGCATACACAAAATAATTCCATAATTATTTCTCATATTCCTTGCCATCAAAATCTACATCTTATGCTGCAATTAACACTGTAGAAATTCAACTTCGAAGTACAGTACCTTACCTAAGGGGCTACAGTATTAGAGGTGCACATAGAATACAGTACCCTACTGTACTGTACGGTATAAACCAAACATAGCCAAAGATCATTAGTTTAGGTTTGGTTTGGATGGTTTGTATTTTGTCACAAGTAAATATTTTATACAAATGACTCGGGTAAAGATAAATTAAGAGCTGGAATTGAATGTGTAGTTACTTCCGTATTATAATTACTGTACAATTATGAACAAACACCTTAAATCAATTTTTACCCGAGAGAAAACTACGGTAATACTGTACCCGGTACAGTACAGATTACAGATGATTATTGTACCTTATCATTACCTTAAAGATGTTGTCACGCATTTATCAAAATCCTGTGGGATTTGGATATAGGTATAGGTTCAGTGCAACTCAGAATTTGTAGTTTGTTTTATTGTACAGTATACAGTAGTTGATTGTACAACATAATTTCAGAAAAATGGTAGCGTCTGTACAGTACAGTATATTACATGTATTACTTATTGGATCATGTGAAGAGTAGGCCTAGCCATCCCAGCTTATTTCATCTTAAGATTAGACAGCCATAAGTTAATCTAAGCTAACATAAGTAATATAATCCTTCAGGTAGCATTACAGTGTTTGATCATGAGGTGAAATAAGCTGGAGGCCAATTTTCACGTGACCGACTTGTTTGACTTTACACCACAAATATAATTTACTGAACCCAACTTCTATTACAACACAGCAGAGAGATTACCTGTATTAGGTTTAGAATAATTTTGGAGATGAACACGACATCAGTTTTCTTCATTGTTATTGAATGACTGAAAGGTATATATGTACGCTGTACTGTACTGTAGCTCGTTGTAATTTTTATATTGAACTGTGGCATGACTATTGAGCTGCACTTATAGTTAATTAGCCTGGTACTGTATACAGATAGCCTATCCTCTGATATACTGTACGTACTGTATGCCGGATAAACAAAAATTGTCTTTAACGAGTTATGTTTTCACACTTTTTTATGAGACGGCAAATATTCATTCTAACGAAAAGCAGTCACATTTTGACACCTCTTTTATTGAATATAAACATTTACGTAAATTAATAAAAATACAAATTTGAAAAAAAAATCTATAAAGAATGCAAAATTTTAGCTGCCATGCAGTCAACTTGGCCACGGGATGGATAGAGTTGCATTTATGCTCTACTGTACCTTTATGATGTTCATTGTTTCAGTGCATTTATAATTTAATAATATTTTTGCAGGATACTGTACCTGTAGTCATGAACTCTACCATTCATTATACATTTTTCAATTAGCAAATGGATTTCCAGGAATACAACTCCTCTGTAAGTTGGAGGATAGCTGCCTGAAGAGTATTATGTACTGTAGCTACCTTAACTATATATTGTACAGTATATGGGCACGGTATAGGAGGTCCCTCACTTACAAACGCCCGCCGATACCAACGGGGTTAAACTTGGGATTTACAGTATTTTATTAACCTGATGACTACTTGTTTACTTTCATTTACTGTATTTTGTCATTTTATTTCTTTTGTCTCAAATTTAGTGATTTTAGATGCATAAAAGGACTTAGGGTATGATATAGTGGGATTTTAAACATTGTTCCGTGTGTACGGTATGCCTGTAGCATGTGTTCAGACTTGCAGACAAATCCGACTTACGAACGTCCTCAGGAACGACACCAGTTCGTAACCCGGGATTCCCTGTACTTACTTCTCGGCTATGGCTACCACTGGCCCACTGCCAACTACAGTAGCTACTGTAGCCAGTTTAAATAAATGGACTATT